GGCAACCACGCCAACAGTCCGCCCCAAGTCACAGCTGTCTTCCTGGCTGCTAAGCGAGCGCATCAGACACATCATGGCCTTATCCCCACTCTAGGTTCCGTGGAGGCCAAACACAGAGCGAGAAGAAGCAGGGAATGCCTCCAGGGTGGGAGCCCTGCAAGGGACGCTGAGCTGCACGGTGCTCACAATGAAAGGAAGACGTGCAGCAGTAAAAACGCCAATACTTGGGTGACTCCCGTCCCCGGGGCCAGCCTGCAGACACTTCATCTCGGGTCAGAAGCCAGCCACCCTCTGCCCCGCCCAAGTGACCGGTGAAGTGCTACCTGGTTAATTTTCAGCAAGGCCCCTCTTTTTGGTAAGATGGAAGAATTCCGAGAGTCGATGACCATCGCGTGCTGAAAGACATTTGCAGTGGTGCAAGTGAACTTCAAACGGTTCTGTGAGGTCATGAAGGCGCTGTGCTAAGCCCTTAGGACTGCAAGCGGACTTCAAGCGTTGGTCTGATGCAAACCCTGGGAGGAAGGCCCGGTCATTACCTCTGTTTCACACATGAGGCTGAGGCACAAAGCGGCTAAGACTTGGAGCTTCCAACGACTGAGGAATCTGTGAACTACGTGAAAGCTGACTGCCTCCACCGGGGTCATTCTCCCAGGAGCTGACCCCCCACCTTAAGTCTACTCAGCCAACTTTCAATGATTCTGGGAAGCACTTATTCCACAGTCAGCTCTCAAACACATTTCTTCCCACACCACAGATCACATTCAAAAGAACACCGCACTGGTTAGCACACACAATGTGCGGTGACGGCCCATAAACTCCTAGAGTGCCTGGGAGCCTATTTTCCACAACTCTTGGCCACCCACCTTCAGTGTTCAGCAGTGTATCCTCTGTGACACCTGTCAATAAGGCCCAACGTGGGCTCAGTTATTTTTCCGGTTTCTAGCACAGCAACTTTACCCTGCTGTCCGTGGGGTCACCGTGAGTGGCCGCTGACTCGCAGCACTCACCGACAGCCCGGCTACCTCAGAAAGGTGAACTGTTCTCACCGAGAGAGAGGATTTGAGTGAGTGTCCACTCTCCTTCCGCACAGCAAAGGACGCTGTCCTCGAGAGGCAGCCCAGTTCCCGCCACACGCCTTCCCACTTCACCGTGTGACTGGTCTTCCAGATGGGAAACTGCAAACACAAGGGGAAATGGTGGCTGGCTGGGGCTTACCATCCTCCTGGGCCATCCGTGCTGGGAGAAGTGGTCCCAGATCACTTTAAGGAACGAGGGGTCCCTGATGACTAAGGAGCGGTTTAAGGAAAGGAAAGGCCGAGGAGGATGAAAGGACAAACGGGAGCGTGCCGGGCTGTCAACTAGTCACCCGGCCACACAGTAACAGGACTGTGTTCAGGGTGTCAGGACAGGTCCCTTATCTGGGAGCTTTGTGCAACTTTATAACCAACAAGTCTTCTCCTGTCAGTCTTTGTAAAGGACAAGTCACCTGAGATGACCTGACGCACTCACTCACGGGCCCGAGCCCTTGTCTGGTGAACCAGGCCCCACAGCCCAGAGACGAGCTGGGAAAAGGCTGCAGGTGAGCTGGAGACCATCGCCCCCAGACAAGGCCTGACCCAGGGCGCTCTCCCCGGAGCCACAACGGCCCGCCTCAGATCCCCGTCTCAGAGAAGGCCCGTCCGGATGGCAACCCAAGCCGTGTGGTCCTTCAGAAGGCACAGTGCTGCTGCCGCTCTCCCCAGGGCAAGCAGTGGCCCGGGCCCAGGCCGACGGATTCTCGGCAGTCGCCAGGCCCGCGAGAGAACGGAGGCCCTGGGGTGGGTGTGGTCCCAGCACGGAACACCACGGCAACGCGGCTCCCAGGGTGGGAGGCCAGGAGCGCCACCTGCTTGTCATTTTCATCGAGCGCCCAGAAGGCAGGGCTACAGGGGACCAGTGGCGGTACAGGATGGACGGCCCTTGCACGGCCACTCCCGCCCTCAGGCTGCCTGAGATCAGAGACCTTCCCAGACACCTGCAGGGGCACAGGGCTAAGCAAATCACCTCCCCGTTCCCTGGAAGGCAGGTGTTAACAAGAAAAACGCTACTGTTTTCAGGAGCGACGCCCTGTCTCTGGATTCACCGCTGGGGGGCGAGGCAGGGGCCACAGTGCACAGCTGTGGTGAAACCACGTCCCCCGTCTTGAGCAGGCACGCTCCCATCCTCCCTTCAAGGCCCGCCTCTTTGGGGGCCCCCTCCTCAGCCCCCTACTCCCAGAGCTCCCCTCCTCCTGGCTGCCCTGGGGCAGTTCTCCTACGTCCTGCAGCCGCTCTGAGTGGGACCCGACTCCCCGCAGGAGGCGGCTCCCTCAGGAGTCCACGGGCTGGAAACGGTGCGCGTGCTCAGCTGCTATCAAAAGGCTGCAGGTTTGCGTCCACACACAGGCAACGCGGGAGAAAGGCCCGGCCGCCTCCTTCAAGAAGAGCCGCGGTAACCCCTCTGGAGCACAGCCCCACCCTGACACGTGTGGGGCGCCACGGGCGGGCGGCTCCCCCAGCACTCTGACGCCCCTGCTCTGGGACCGCCCTCCTCCAAGCCACTCAGCTACCCACCCGTTCTCCTCAGTGGGCCTGGGCCTGCTCCCTCTCCCACTGTCTGTGCCCACCGCCATGCTGGCTCAGGTGGGTGAGGCCCCTCCCACTGTCTGTACCCCTCACCGCCACGCTGGCTCGGGTGGGG